AGGCAGAAGATAAGACTACAGAAGCCTTAAAACACATAAGCTCACAGAATTAAGAGATATCTAAGAGACACCACCTAGCAACAATAGAACATGCACTCTTATCAAACACAAACTGTACATTCTACAGGACAAACTACACACTAGAAGATAAAACGAGCCTCAGTAAAACTTAAAATAACTGTAATCATATAAAGTATGTTTTCCAACAAAAACTGAATCAAGTTAAATATCAGTAACAGAAGGAAATTCATGAATATATGAACATTAAACAACACATTACTAAATAATAAATGGCCAAAGAAGAAAAATCACAATGAACACTAATAAATACTTTTAGATGAATTAAAATAAAAACACAGGCAAACTGGTGGTATGGTGGGTAAGGTGACTGATCCCATACGGGAGATAATGCGGTGCAAGTCCTGGTGACTTGAGAAACACACTGAGAACATGTGTGCATGCCCAACATTCCAAAAGAAGGGAGAAATGGAGAAGAGACTGCAGCATGACCATCCCATCAGGGGCTGTGCTCTCTCATTTTCTCTCTGGTAAACACACATACCTTCTGGCAAAATTTTTAAAAATGACACAATAAACCAAACTTAGAGCCTGTATCTAAAACAGTGCTTGAAAATTTATCACTTTTTATATCTATGTTAAAAGGAAGAATGATAACAAATCACTAGCCTAACAGCACACCTTAGTAAACAGGAAAATGTACAAACTAAACCCAAAGCAAGTGACAAAAACTAAAATAAAGAAAAATTACAAAAGTAAAAAAAAAAGAAAGAATAGAGAAAGTAGAGAAACCTAAGACTCTTTCTTTGAAAAGATCAGCAAAATTGAAAACATAAAAAAAGAAAGAATAGAGAAAGTAGAAAACCTAAGTTTATTTCTTTGAAAAGATCAGCAAAATTGAAAACATTTAGCTTTCTTCATTAAGAACAATATAGAAAAATGAAATGGCTAAAATCAGGAATAAAAGAGAAGGCTATATTACCAACTTACTGAAATGAAAGGTATAATTATATGGGGAAACCATGCTAAAGGAACAAATCCCACATAAGACACAAATTACAAAAACTGATTTATCAAAATTAAAAATCTACATATACACATAGGAAGGGGAAAAGATGGGAACCAATAATTTAATACTTTCTAAAGAAAAGCTCGGGCAGGTTCACAGTGAATTCTAACAATAAAACAATACAAATAATTTACAAAGTCTGCCAAAAAAATTTTTTTTTCTTAGATTATTTTTGGTTTTGGTTTTGAGAGGTTTTTGCTATAGGGCGCGTGCGCTTGCCAGACAGAGAGACAGAGAGAGAGAGAGACAGAGAGACAGAAAATGAGAAATCACCCCCCCCCAGGGGGGATGGCCACGCTGCAATCCCTTCTCCATTCTCCTCTCGGGACCTTAGGCATGCACGCACATGTGCCTGGTGTGAGTTTCATGCCACTGGGTCCGGGACACGAACCGCGGTCAACTACATGGGAGTCCAGTGACATAGCCACTACACTAACTGCTGGTCCCAGAGAGATTTTTGATACAGGGTGTGTGTGGTCACTGGAGACAGAACCAAGAAATCACCCCCCAGGGGGGATGGCCACATTGTAATCCCTTCTCTTCTCGGGATTTTGGGCATGCACACACACGCACCTGGCATGAGTTTTAGGCCACCAGGTCCAGGACTTGAATGGCAATTGACTATGGGAGAGTCCAGAGACATAACCATCATGCTATCTGCTGGTCCCAAAGTCTTCCAAAAATTATTAAAGGTGGGACTGCTTCCAAATCAATTTTTTTAAAATAACTATTTTATTTTAATTTTATTTATTATTATTATCATTATTATTTTCCAGTTTGATCAGAGAGAGACAGAGAGAGAGAGAGAGAGAGAGAGAGAGAGGAAGTGAGAAAGCAAGCCACCAGGTCCGAGACTTGAGCTGTGGTCGGCCATGTGGGAGTCCAGCACCTTTAACCACCATGCCACTTGCCGGCCCCCCAAATCAATTTTTAATACCAGTATTACCCTTAGACCAAAACCTGAACAAAATATCACAAGAAATCTACAGACCACTGTCTATGATGAATATAGACATTTATTCTAAAAAAAAAATACTAACAAACTGAATCCAGCAACCTCAGCAACCTATATAAAAGGTTATATTGGGTCGTTTGAAAAGTCATGATGTTATTTTTCTATGCAAAAAATGTATTATGTCTTTTCCAATGACCCAATATATCATAACCAAGTGGGGTGTATATATATATATATATCCAAAAACGCAAGGTTGGTTTGACATATGAAAATCAATATCAATCACACATTGTAGTATTACGATAAAAACAGAAACCATATGATCATCAAAAAAGATGCAGAAAAATATCTGACAAAATTCAACACCCTCACACAATTAAAATGCTCTAAAAACTATGAATAAGGGGCCAGGAGGATTCACACATGGTTGACCATAATTGAGTCCCAGACTTGTGGGCTTGCCTTCTCATGTTCTCTCTCACTCTGGTTGGAGCATGTGGCCTACAACAAATTTTAAAAATAATACAATGACAGATATATAATTTTTTTTCTTTTTTTTTTTTAAGAGAGATTTTTGTTATAGGGTGCATGTGCTCGCTGAAGAGAAAGAGAGATAGAAAGCAAGAAATCACCTCACTTTGGAGGATGCCAGGGAAGATGGCCATGCCATAATACCTTCTCCTTCATTCTTGGGTACAAAAGCACATGTACCAGGCTTGAGTTTTAAGTCATCAGGTCCAGGACTCGAACTGCAGTCAACTACATGGGACTGCAGGAGTCAGCGACATAACCATTACACCATCTGCTGGTCCAATATATATAATTGTTTTTTGAGAGGTTTTTGCTATAGGGCGCGTGCGCTCGCCAGACAGACAGAGAGAGACAGAGGGACAGAAAGTGAGAAATCACCCCCCAGGGGGGAATGGCCACACCATAATACCTTCTCCTTCATTCTTGGGTACAAAAGCACATGTACCAGGCTTGAGTTTTAAGTCATCAGGTCCAGGACTCGAACTGCAGTCAACTACATGGGACTGCAGGAGTCAGCGACATAACCATTACACCATCTGCTGGTCCAATATATATAATTGTTTTTTGAGAGGTTTTTGCTATAGGGCGCGTGCGCTCGCCAGACAGACAGAGAGAGACAGAGGGACAGAAAGTGAGAAATCACCCCCCAGGGGGGATGGTCACACCACAATCCCTTCTCCTCCATTCTCTCTTGGGATCTTGGGCATGCACGCACATGCGCCCGGCGTGAGTTTAAGCCACTGGGTCCGGAACTTGAACCACGGTTAACTAAATGGGAGTCCAGCAACATAGCCATTACGCTAACTGCTGGTTCCCAAAATAAATAATTTTTTAAAAACCTAAGAATAAAAGGGAATTTCTTCAACCTGATAAAGGATATCTATAAAAATATCACAGCTAGTATCAAACATAATACTTTTCCACTAAGATCAGGACAAAACAAGGATATTGGCTCTTGTCATTTCTGTCACCCTTTATACTGTAAGGTCAGGGTAATTGGAGAAATAAAATATAATGACTTTCTAGTACCCAGACTAATAAGAAAAAAGTAAGACTATCTGGATTCACAGGTGACAAGGTCTTATACATATTAACTGTAAGAAATTCACATAAAAACTACTGTAATTAATAAATGAGTACTTCAGCAAGATTGCAGACTATAAAATTAATATAAGAAATCTAACTCTATAGCAATGAAAATTCATTTTTTAAAATTTCTATTTTCTTTATCATTACTATTAATATTATTATTATTTTAAATTTGCTAAAGAGCACATGTGCTCATGATAGAGAGAGTGAGTGAGTGAAAGAGAGAGAGAAAGCAAAAAAGCAAGCCAAGTCTGAGACTTAAACCATGGTCAACCATGTGAGAGTCCAGAGCCTTAACCACTATGCCACCTGCTGGCTCCCACAATGAATATTTTAAAAGTGAAAGTAAGAAAACAATCCCAGGGACAAACCTATGGCCTGGTAATAAAGAGAGCCCTATTCCACATGGCCAACACAGTTTCAATCCCAGCTCTCATGGCTTAAAGAACATAATGGGCATGTGTACATGTATGTATGTATAAAATCTCAACAGGATAGAGAGATAGAGGAGGAAGGATTTACTGCATGGTCACACCTCACTGGGGAGCTTTCTCCCTCTCCCTTTGTCTACCTCTCTGTCTCTCTCTGGTGAATACACATATGCTCCGGCCTAGGAAAAATAAATAAATAAATAAATAAAAACGGAAGGGCAAGTCAGTAGGCTGGTGATTAAGTTAGCTGGATTCCACATGGCTAACCATGCAGTTCAAGTCTCAATCTAGCACCTTGAGAAACATGCTGAGTACATGTGCATGCGTGCCCAAAATCTCAAAAGGAGGGAGAGATGGAGGCAAATGACTACAGTGTGACCACGCCCCATAGGGGATGCTTTCTCTGTCACATGCACATGTCCTCTGCAAATTAAAAACCAAAAATTAAAAAAAAAAGATTAAAACACTTAGAATCAACAAAGAAATGTTAAGACTTATACATGGAAAATTACAAATTACTGCCAAAAGAAATGAACATGATTGGGATCAGTGAGAATTATTTAAAACAAACAAACAAAAAAAAGACCAGAAAAATTTCCTGACACAGAAAGAAGACATCTATGAGGAACGGGCTCCCACTGGACAGTGTATTTGTCAGCACCTTGGTCTTGAACGTCCCAGCCCCCAGAACTGTTAAGAAATCAATTTCTGTTGTTTTTAAGTCATGTAAGGTATTTTTGTAACGGCACCCTGAAGAGACTAAGACAGGATTTATAAACACATCTAGCCCAAAGTATTATTATTATTACTGTAGGAGTTAAAAAATAAAAAATTTGATAGGCTTAGCCAGATATTTTTCACAAGCTAGCCATGAGGAGGACCTTTACTATCTCCTTTTTCTACTTACCTACTACGTGTTTAAGGGTCTTCGGCACAGTGTCAAGAGATACTCTCAACATTCTGAGATTTGAAGAGTGATATTCCGGTTCTTTAGTTGGTTCATGAGGAACAAACGAAGGCAACATAGATGAAAAAGACGGATAATTTTCCAGATTAGAACAACTTACCTATGAAAACAGAAAAGAAATGAAGGAAATTAGATTATATTGAGATTTCACCTGCTTAAAAAAATTTTCATATTTATAAAAATGAACACAGAGCAGCTATACCAGTTACTTAAGATCATATTGTCAACCCTCTTGAACTCTTATGCAAGTCATATCTTATTCGGTCAACTCTGAGACTTCTATATAAATCATTCTGAGGGTTTGGAAAATCTGCCTGCACAGCATATTACAGAAAGCAGGCCTAAAAGTGTTGTTACTCATTAGTCTGCGCCTAATAATAATTATCATTGCAAGATATGAATAGTCTATTATTTTTAATAAGTTTAAGGGGTTTTTAAATTGTTTTGTTTTGTTCTGTTTTGCTTTTAATGGAGAGAGGTATGCTGTGGGAGGAAAAAATAAGAAAGGTTACAGGAATATTTTCTAGAAACACAAATGTTTAGAAGAAAAATAAGAACATCGAAGAACTTAAACAGGCATCAGATAGTAAAAAAAATGAGTCCTCAAGAAGCCCTTGCTAAAAAATAAATTAGAAATAATTATTGGTAACATTAATACATAAATATGCACAACTTTTCACCGAATTCTCAGTATACTTGCACATAAAAAGTTACACCACTTTTAGGTTTATTTTCCTAAAAAGTTATACCAGTCATGCCCCCTCAGAAAGGAGTCTAAATGTGCACATCATCCTGAGTTTTTCTACTCTCTTTTATTACGGTGTTTTTTATTGTGCAGTAATGAACGTTCTCTTAAGTAGCTGGCAGGGTGTAGAAGTGAATAGTCTTCATCTATTGTCCATCTATCCCGCTACATCTATTAAGAACCAATGGTTCCCAACTGAGGGATATTCTGTATGCCCAAGGGTCATTTAACAATCCCTAGAAACACTTTTCACTGTCATTAATTTGGGAGGAGGTAATGCTACTAGATGTAGTGAGTAGAGGCCAATGATGCTACCAAACATTCTAATACATACACAGGACAGCCTCCATAACAAAGAATGAGCCATATATATATATATATATATGTGTGTGTGTGTGTGTGTGTGTAATTTTATATAACATACATACACACACGTATGTGTATGTATGTGTGTATATACATGCACACACACATACACACATGCACACATGTGTATATATGTATGTTATATAAAATTATATATATGTTATATATATAATAGATGTGTATTTTATACATACTATATGGCTAGAGACTTATGGAGAAATAAATGTTTAATAGCAATTTCTTTCCCCTACAGCTTCCAAATGTATAAAGTAAAACTTTCTGAGCCATGGTGGTTATGGCAGCTGGGTTCTACATGGCCAACTACATGGTTCAGGCTTGAAAATCATGTTGGGCACACGTGTGTGTCCTAAATTCCTAAAGGAGGAAGATATTGAGGAGAAGGGATTGCAACATGACTGTGTCCCGCTGGGAGTTCTTTCTCATTTTGCTCTCCTCTCTCTCCCCAGTGACGACATGTGCCCTTTGGCAAGTTTAAAAGAAAAAACTTCTGTCACAGTCTTGATTTCAGTAAAATTTCACTCTATCAATGATTCAAAATATAGAACAGAGTAAGTAATACAAAAGAAAATGTAGAATGAAAAGATAAGTATTTAAGAGACTAGCAGATCTTCTTTACTAATTGAAAATGAGAGGAAACAAAAGGAAAAAAAATCAAGACTGTCTTGTCTCCCAGCTTTTAATTAATAATAAAGAAAAGGCATCGAAGGTTGACTAGGAAACTAAGAAAATGCTAACTCTTAAGAACTCGGGAAATAGGGCCAGCAGGTGGTGTAGTGGTTAAGGCGCTGGATTTCCATGTTGCTGAAAATCATGCTGGGCACATGTGCGTGCCCAAAATCCTGGGAGGAGAACGGAAGAGAAGGGATTGCAGTATGGCTATTCCCCCACGGGGTGATTTCTCATTTTCCCTATCACTGTCTGTCTCTGGTGGGCACACACACACTCTATGGCAAAAACCTAAAAAAAAAATAAAATAAAATAAAAAGAACTCAGGAAACCTATGAGCTTACCCGATTTTAGGAAACAGTTATTTTTAAATAGGCAAGGTGAATTCAAGGTGATGACAATGTTCACAATAAAACTATACAAAATACCATATTGCTAACATATTAGTATCTAAAAAGAGGTAACAATCATTCACAGAGATAGTAAGCCATAGGGAGGAAACTAGGTCTCTTGAGAGGGATGGAAAAAATTTCTGGGGACCAGCAGTTGGTGTAATGGTTATGTCACTGAACTCCCATGTAGTCAACTACAGTTTGAATCCCGGACCCAGTGGCTTAAACTCATGCCAGGCGCGTGTGCATGCGTGCCCAAGATCCCGAGAGGAGAATAGAGGAGAAGGGATTGCGGCGTGGCCATCCCCCCTGGGGAGGGGGGTGATTTCTCACTTTCTGTCTCTCTGTCTTTCTGGTGAGTGCATACGCCCTACACCAAAACCTCTCAAAACAAACAAACAAACAAACAAACAAACAAAACCTCTGGCTTTAACCCCTAACAGTTTTTAGAGTTAAAAGGTCAAAATAAGGGGCACTAAAATAGTATTAAATACTGCTACCAAGAACAAAGAGATAGAAAAACAAAATAATGATAGAGAATAGGAAATGACTGGTCAAAAGCCCAGCAGTCTAGTTTCTGTAAAGTGAAAGGAACTAACAAGCCCATCATTATAAAACTGCTATATAACTTAACCAATTTAACAAAACAGTATATGAGGTTGATTATTATTATTCCTCTTTTTTTTTTAGGCAGATGAAAAATGTGAACCTCGAGTCATTTGCTCAAGACACAAGGCTGCTAGCTAGAACTGGTTCTGGTTTCCAAATTTCTACGCTTTTTTTTACAGCTCCAAGCTGCATCACACTTACATAAATAAACAAGTAACTGTCCAAAAGAATAATGGGTAGATATGAAAGGGAAGTTTGAAGGAGTGACTCTTCTGAGACACAGATGAGAAGAGTAAGGAAGAAATCAACAAGTAGGCAAGACCTTTGAGAGCGAGTTGAGCCATATGGAAAGGTTATTGCCCTGTCTGGTTCCTTACTTACATAGTATTGAGTAATTCCTAGATCACAAGATAGAACTAAGATTGAAGGACAATACAGGGCATAATATCTTCCATAGATTGAAGAGAGTATACTTAAGGCCACTGTTAAGAGCAGATAAAATCTGGAATAGTGGTCAAAGTTAATTTTAGTACATTTTGTGTATGTGTATGTATTCATTTTAAAAATATATCTTAGCGGAACCAGCAGCTGGTGGGGTGGCTATGTCACTGGACTCCCAAGAAGTTGACTGCAGTTCGAGTCCCGTACCCGGTGGGTTAAACTCATGCCAGGAACATGTGAGTATGTTGGGCACATGTGCGTGTGTGCCCAAGATCCTGAGGGGAGAATGGAGGAGAGGGGATTGGATCGTGGCCATCACCCCCTGGGGGTGATTTCTCACTTTCTGTCTCTGTTTTTCTGGTGAGCACACACACACCCTATAGCAAAAACCTCTCTCTCTCTCAAAAACATCTTATCTACAAGAAAAGTTGATAAAGTCACAAGAGTAGTAGTATCTTAAAAAATAGAACGCGAGGGGCCAGCAGGTGCCGTGTTAGTTAAGGCACTGGGCTCCCACATAGCTTACCATGGTTCAAGTCCTGGACCTGGCAATTTACTTTCTCACCTTCTCTCTCTGTGTCTGTCTCTCTCTAGTGAGCACACATGTCCAATAGCAAATTAGAAAATAATAAAAATTGGGAACCAGCAGTTAGCATAATGGCTATGTCGCTGGACTCCCACGTAGTCGACCGCAGTTTGTGTCCCGGACCCAGTGGCTTAAAACTCACACTGGGTGCACGTGTGTGCGTGCCCAAGATCCCGGGAGGAGAATGGAGGAGAAGGGATTGCAGCATGACCATCCCCCCTGGGGGGTGATTTCTCGCTTTCTGTCTTTATGTCTCTCTCTGTCTGTCTGGTGAGTGCATGCGCCTTATAGCGAAAAACCTCTCAAAAAAAAAAAAGAAGAAATTAATAAAATTAATAAAATTAAAAATTAGTAATTCTAGAAAAAATAAAATGCAGGGACCAGCAGTTGGCAGAATGGCTATGTCACTGGACTCCCACGTAGTCGACCACGGTTCAAGTCCTGGACCCGGTGGCTTAAACTCACACCAGGCACATGTGTGTGCATGCCCAAGATCCCAAGAGGAGAATGGAGGAGAAGGGATTGCTGAGTGGCCAATCCCCCGGGGGGTGATTTCTCACTTTCTGTCTGTCTTTCTAGAGCATGCACACGCCCTATAGCAAAATCCTCTCCCAAAAATAAATAAATAAATATAGATAAAATGCTTAAGTTTTAAACTGATTTGTTTCAAAACCTTCACTACTGCCAAAATCCTCTAAAACTTTTAGCTTGGTTTCACCAAGAATAGTTAAACAGGGAGAGGGAGTGTGGGAGTTTCTACATGGTAGCTCAGAAGATAACAATAGATAAGATTTGCTGAATGATCATGAGTTATTTCCTTAATCCTCTAAATGTCAACTATAAAATGGGGATGATAATAATCCCTAACAATCCTACAGGACTGACTGAAGGACTAAATGAACTCATGTATATATGTAAACCTCTTAGGACAGTATTTGAGCAAAGAGCTATCATTTTATCCCCACTATTTTCAGATTTTAAGTGAGAATTAAACAATGCTACTCCAGAAAACAAAAATAAAACTAACTTCATGGGGGACCAGCAGTTAATGTAATGGCTATGTCACTGAACTCCCATGTAGCTGAATGCATGGGAGTCTCAGACCTGGTGGCTTAAACTCACACTGGGTGCGTGTGCATGAGTGCCCAAGATCCCGAGAGGAGAATGGAGGAGAAGGGATTGAGGCATGGCTATCCTCCTGGGGTGATTTTTCGCTTTCTGTCTGTCTCTGTCTTTCTGGTGAGCGCATGCACCCTACAGCAAAAAACAACAACAAAAAAAACACTTAATGAGTCTCTATATTGCAATTTTTAATAAACTCAATAAACGATAAATAGAAAGAAAAACTGATTAGAATATCTTTGCTCATTTGTAATAAAACAAGTACCTTTATAATGACATACTGACCTTATACACAGGAAAACAGAAAAAGGGAAGCAACATCTCATACACCACATTTATTATCTAACTGTATTTAATGAGTAAAAAGGATGTGAGGATATACTATAAGGCAGTGGGACTCAGCTTAGACTGATAGTATCAGACAGGAGAGGATGGGCAAAGGATTTGAGGAACACTAAAGCTGAGGGTCAAGGCAAATGAAGTCTTGTACAAAAGAAAGGTTGAGGGTACCAAGCCCCACATGGGAAAGGTCCTGAGTTCATACCCAGGCACATGCACATGTGTTCATGATCCAGGCAGCTGAGAGACGGAGTCTCAGGTCACAGCATGAACCTGGATGGGAGTGGTGCCTGTGGGTCTCCACTTATCTCTGTCATGGTAGAAACAAACAAACAAAAAAAAGGTGTGTGGGGAGGGCAGTTTCCATGGCCTTGTTGTTAAGGCAGCCAGATTTCACATGGCTGACTCCATGGTTCCATGGTTCACATTCTGGCCTCTGCAGACTGAAGAATATGTCAGGCGCATGTGTGTGTGTCCCCTATAGGTTGGAGAAACAGAGAAGAGGGGATTGCAGCATGACCATGCTCCACTGGGGTGGTGATTTCTCCTTCTCTCTCTGACAAGGAACATGTCCTCTGGCAAATTAAAAAAAAAAAAAAAAAAGTTGACAATATTTTTTTAGCGCCCAGAACTATCACTTTTTAGTACACACACAAAGATAATAATGATATAAGCAGATGGAGGGAATGTATATATACATGAGTATGTGGCTTGTCTAGAAGGAGGTAGTTTCCTTGAGGACAGTGGCTGATTTGGACATTAAGTACCCTGGTATCCTGTCTGGGAAAACACTGGTTATTGTAATTTTCAAGATGCTTCTTAACTGAAATCCTCTAGGCGCTTCTAAACAGAAATAGTTGAACATTCCAGAGCCTATACCAAGGTTTATATACTGAAGACAAGAAGACAATTATTAAAATGACCCCATAAATGGGTTTGATCTTAACACTGTCCCAAAGACTCCTGCTAGCACAACTTGAAAGAGTGGGATGTTTCAGGATAAAAGGACTGGGATATCCAAAGAATAGCCTTTTCCAAGATACCAAAGAAACCACTAAGTCTTAAAGCCTAAGAAATATAACATTTCTTTTGTGCCTATCTCTAGCAAATTAATGGATCGTATTCCAAGAAAACAGATAAAAACCAGGTTACAAGTCACAATTTGATATTAGAGGATATAAATAAACCATTTACTTTGATTATTATTTTTCAATTCCAATATTCTTTTCCTCATCCGTAAGAAAAGTAAAATAGGAGAGGCAAAAACACAGTCCTCTGAGATGTCAACTAACTTGAGCTATGAAAAATTACTTCTAGAGAAGAAGATTCCTGGGACCAGCAGTTAGCGTAATGGCTATGTCGCTGGACTCCCACATAGTCGACCACGGTTCGCACCCTGGACCTGGTGGCTTAAAACTCACGCTGGGCGCATGTGCATGTGTGCCTAAGATCCCAAGAGGAGAATGGAGGAGAAGGGATTGCGGCGTGGCCAACCCCCCAGGGGGGTGATTTCTCGCTTTCTGTCTGTGTCCCTGTCTGTCTGGTGAGCGCACACGCCCTATAGCAAAAATCTCTCCAAAAAAAAAAAAAGAAGATTCCTCATGGCTCCTGAGAATTAGTTACTTCAGGGAAAAAAGAGAAATGAAGATTTTCTACTGATAATTGAGCCTCCAGCCCACAAACTTGAGTGGAAAGGCAAGGGACAGGCCTTCAGAAGAAGATTCTTCATGGCTCCTGAGAACTAGTGATTTCAGGGAAAAAAGAAAAATGAAGATTTTCTACTGACAATTGAGCCTCCAGCCCACAAACCTGAGTGGTAGGGAGCCCCTTAAGCCTTCTCTCTGTCTCTGTCTGTGTCTCTCTCTGCCTCTGTCTTCTCATTTTTTTGGTAATTTTTCCTTTTTAAAAGTTTTTAAGGTAAAGTATTTTCTGGGCTTTCAGTCCCTCCTTTATCTTGTTAATAATCCCCTCTCCCCAGGACCAGCAGTTAACATAATGGCTATGTCGCTGGACTCCCATGTAGTAGACCACGGTTCAAATCCTAGACCTGGAAGCTTAAACTCACGCCAGGCGCGTGTGCATGTGTGCCCAAGATCCCGAGAGGAGAATGAAGGAGAAGAGATTATGGCATGTCCATTCCCCCTGGGGGGGTGATTTCTAACTTTCTGTCTCTCTGTCTTTCTGGTGAGCGCACACACCCTATAGAAAAAAAAAAAACTCTCCAAAAAAATGGAAAAAAAAAAATAATAATCCCTTCTCCCCCTCCCACCCAGGAGAGGCAAGGGGAAGGCCTTCAGAAGAAGATTCCTCATGGCTCCTGAGAACTAGTAATTTCTATTTTTTGCTTTTTTAAAAAATAATATTTTTTAGTTGTTTATTTTTTCCCTTTTTTTCCTGTTTCTTTGTTGTTGTTGTTTCTCTCTCTGTTTCCTTTTCTATTTCTTTTCTCTCTCTGCTCTTCAATCTCCATTCACTGTGTTTCTAGATGGATCTAAGGAAACTACAGCCAAACATACACATACTACTAGGGTTAACATATTCTCACTATCTACTGAGTCTGCTGTGCAAAGGGATCAAAACGGAATAGCAAAGAGATTCCAGATCACCTCTTTCTGCATGCTCCTGAACCCTCAGATTGAACTTCAAGAATTTGAAAGAAACACACAACCCATCAGATGACTAGAAATCACTGCAGGGCCACAAGAAATATGGGAAAGCAAAAAAAAAATATCTCCTCCAAGAGAAAAGAATAGCTACTCTTCATCCACAGATAGTACAATGGAACTCACTGAAATGTCTGATAAAGAATTTAAAATATCCATAGTGACAAAATTAACAGAGATGCAAGAGAAGAGAAACAATGAACTCTAGAAGATGCAGGAAAGAAGAGCTGACAAGTTCCAGAAGGTGAGAAAGTTCTTACACAAGCTGAAAGAGGAAATACACACCATAAAAAATAATCAAATGGAAGGCTATAATACAGGATATCAGAACCTCCCTTGAAAGTATCAAAAGCAGACTAGATCATGCAGAAAACTGAATCTCAGATGTAGAAGACAGAATCGCTGGCCTAGAAAAATTCACCACGAAGACTGAGAAAATTGCCCCCCAGAAATGAGAATAATATATGAGAAATACTAGATATCATTAAATGTCCAAACATCCAGATAATCGGTATCCCAGAAGGTGAAGAGACTAATAAGAGCATTGATAATCTATTCCATGAAATCCTTAAAGAAAACTTTCCAAACCTAGAGAGGAATTTAAGATCCAGACCCAAGAAATGCAAAGGAACCCTAAAAGAATCAACCCAAGAAAATCTTCTCCAAGACACATTCTAGTCAGATTGACCAAAGTCACAGACAAAGACAAGATACTAAGATTGGCAAGAGAGAAACGTCAAGTTACCTAACAAAGGATACTCCATCAGGCTAACAGCAGACCATCAGAAACAATGTAAGCAAAGAATGGGAAAATATACTCAAAGTGTTACATGAAAAATAATTTCAAACAATACTATACTGGCAAAGAGCATTCTCAGATAAACAAAACCTGGAAGAATTTATCAACACCAGACCAGCTCTCCAAGAAGTTCTAAATGGAGTGCTATACCAGGAAAACTAAATACAGACACACAGAAATGAGAGTTCAAAAACAATTAAGAAAATGGTCAACTTAATGTGGTAGGGACAAGTCTGGAATTGAATGTTACCTTCCAGAATTTAAATGGAAAGACTGGACCACAACAGAAGATAAAGTACATGAGACTGAACTGGTGAAACAGAATCTTAGGACTTTTGACTAAAACATTACTTTCTTCTATGCTTTGTTTTCGAGATTTAAGGTTTTTTGTCTCCTCTTGAACTGTCAATAGATTCATGTACCTACTACTTGAACAGAATCCTAACTTGTTTCATGGTTTTATGTCTTAAGCAGAGTTCTTTTTAACATTTTTTTATTTTGATTTATTAAAGCTAAAACTGCTTTTCTTGAAATTAAAAACACGTATTTAAAAAAACAGCTATTTAATGACCACAAAAAGCTATATAGCCTCAGGTAGGTGCTACTTTATATTATATTCATTCTATTCATGCCTAAAGTTAGACATGTGTTCAGAAATATGTATGTATCAGCTGAACTTGCTATTAAAAGTAGCTAGATTAATTAAGATATTTTGTGAGACAATAAAAAGTGTGTGGGAGGAAGGAATGGAAAGCAACTGTAGATATCAGAGAGAGTTTGGGAAGAGGATGGGAAATGACAGGGTGAGAAATAGGTAGGGAGATACACACACACACACACACACACACACACACACACACATTTCTGAAATAAGAAATGGAACATTCTTTGTCCATATTTTGTATGCTGTGATGATGCTCAGTGAATAAATGTAAAATTAAAAAAAAAAAAAGTAAAGTAAAATAGAAAAACTTACAGGATCTTCAAAATTGCTCTCCTCCTGAGATGGTTGCCAGTGCAGGGAGCTGTCACAGATATCTAGATCACCAAGCACATGTTCTAAAGCTGCCAGGTCAGTGTACTCACCAGTCAAGTCATACTGGTCACAGGTCTGAGAAAAAGTAAAAAGTAAAAACAAATAATACCATTTCCTGAAACAATACTGGAGGAGACTATGTTTCCCACAACTTTCATTTTATTGGAACTCACCTCTCCTTGTAGTTCAGCGACACTTTCACTGCACACAACAGCATTTCGATCTAGGCTACAGCATTCGGTATCATCATCCGTAATGACGTCCAACTCAGCCTTTCCCTGCAGGCCCTCTACAAAATAGGAGTCACTTTGCTTAACTGTATGAACAGTAAAACTGTTCTCTACTCTCACAGGCCAAGGAATTTCACCTTGGCCTACATCAGCTTTCAGCAATGTCTCTTGGCCAACTGCAATTACTGATGCATCACTGGTCAGAGGTAAAGCACCTTATGACTTTGCATCACATGTAACCAAGTTTGCTGAAAAGCTGCTTCCTACAGCTACAGATAGACCTTCAATGCTGTCACTAGAGTTTACATCCTTACCCAAATTATAGTCTGAGGAATCTGCAAATTCTTCAAAGGTGTGCTGCTTTAAATCTTGTAAAACCAAAGAATCTGAAGTTGATACTTTCACTGGATAAAAAATGTTTGAAGATCCTACCTTCTCTGCAAGGTCAAGAGCAGAAACAGACTTTATCTTCCCATTAGGAAGAAATGGTTCATTGTGTATATCACACTGAAATACAGTTGACTGTATTTTGCCAAAAGCCTGGTTATAAGATTTTTCATTTAAAGAAGCGGATGATTTAAACTCTAGAATAACAGAAAGTGGCTTAAAGGGCATTTCTTGAGGACCATTAGGGGGTGATTTTAAATTTGGAAACCAGTATAGGGAGCTATCATCATCATCTTTTTTATACAACAATGATTTTGAAGCTGCTGGTTCAAACACCCCAGGAGTAGATTGATAGTTAGGATGCTTAAGCTTATCAAAGAAAGAATTTTCATCACTGTAATTTAATGGGGAAAGATCTCGATTTTTTGATTCTCTTTCTTGGTTGTCATCTGTTAAAGATTTATGGATGTCAGTTTGGATTTCATTTACTGTACTCTCTTTCCCGGAAGGCTCAATGGAGGCAATAACTGCCTCAAAGGCTACATTTTCAGTAGCATGAACATTTTTCTCACCAAAAATAGAAGTTGCCTTTTGGGTTCTTTCCTCTTGAAAATACAGCTGTTCTGATGTCTCATCCAAGTTGGATTTAACAGTCGGAAGAGGACCATCAAAAGCCTCCATCTTAGAGGTATCATGTCTCCCGGAGAGTATATGTGCTTCTGAAACTTTTACAGAATTATCAGGAACTATAACATTCCCAACATACTGTATTTCTGAAGACCTGAGATGCACCTCTGAATTATTTCTAGTCTTATTTTGTTCAAAATATTGAGGTATTTCTTCCTGTAGACTTTCATTTCTTTCATTACCCTCCAAAGAATCCATCTCTTTTTTCACCCCATTCTCAGATGGAGCCCTTAAATAAACACTGTTAGAACGACTGTCAGACACCAAGGGGACCCCTTTTTCTCTTCTTTCCAACAAACATCGCGGGAAAGAATATGACGTTTTATTATTATGATGGGAAGCAACTTCATGTGGAAAAGAAACATGATCTTTCCTGGTTAGAGGTGCTTCTGAATCATGTGAAGTTTCCTGTGTGCTCCATGATGTGGAGGAAAAGGGGACACTAAAATTGTTAGTTCCCTTGGACATTTTATTTTTATCAATTGTGTCAGATGAATCCGAAAAAAAATCATAGTCCTTACTGGTTAAATACGTTTCTGCCTGCTGTAAAGCTTCCTGTTTCTCATACTCCCCATATGAACAAGAAGCATCAAAACTATCATTTCTTTTGCCAGTTATGTTTTCATCACTTATATCAGATGAAGTTGAAACTGAACTTTGATGTTTATCACCTAAATTGCTTTCTGGTTGCTGTACATCTTTTTGTGTCTTCCATAAATAAAGACCATCAAAACTGTCAGAGTCTTTGGGGGTTTTTGTTTCATTAACTGTATCGGATGAAATAGTCTCACTAGTCCCTTGTTCGGGAGGTAAAAAAGAGCGCTGAGAATCAACACCTATGCCACCTACAAGTGGATGCTGAGACACACTAAAGCAACTGTTAACTGTTAAGTCTGAAGCTACTTCAGAGGTTGCCTGGAATAAAGCTTCACGAACTTCCGATGGTCGAGAAAACCATTCAGTGTCTTCAGACTTATCAGGAATTGCCCTGAAAATATAAATAATAAATAAATAATACATTAAAATATTTAATTTTTAGGTATTAATAGGGAAATACAAAACTGATATGCTGCTCAATAAATCAAGTTTATTTTAAAAGTGTACTGAAAAACAAAGTTCTTCTAATTCCAAATTCCTTTAAGGCAGCAAATGATCGAACAAAGCATTTTTGTACCCAAGGTAAATTATCAGTCTATGACACTGATGTTATCTCAGGCTTCTCAAAAAATGATAAACAGGGACCAGTAGTTAGCATAAAGGCTATGTCACTGGACTCCCATGTAGTCGACTGCAATACGAGTCCTGGACCTGGCGGCTTAAACTCACGCCGGGTGCATGTGCGTCTGTGCCCAAAATCCCAAGAGGAGAATGGAAGATAAGGGACTGCGGAGTGGCCATCCCCCCTGGGGGGTGATTTCTCGCTTTCTGTCTGCCTTTCTCTGTCTTTCTGGCAAGCGCATGCACCCTATAGCAAAAAGAACTCTCCCCAAAAAAAGAAAAAAATAAATAAACACAGAATCTGATCTTCACATTGCCCAAAAAATTATTTTAAATGAAAAATTCAATATAGTCTTTAAATGTTTATCTATCATGATTTAACATTCATTTAATATGTTTTAATTCATTTACTATCCTTTATTATGCTCTTGAAAACCACTCAAGAAGTGATCTAGGGAACCAGCAGTTAGTGTAATGGCTATGTTGTTGGACTCCCATGTAGTCGACCGTGGTTTGCGTCCTGGACCGGTGGCTTAAAACTCATGCTGGGCACATGTGCGTGCGTGCCCAGGATCCCGAGAGGAGATTGGAGGAGAAGGGATTGTGGCGTGACCATCCCCTCTGGGGGATGATTTCTCGCTTTCTGTCTCTCTGTCTCTCTCTGCCTGTCTGGCAAGCGCACGTGCCCTATAGCAAAAAAAACCTCTCCAAAAAAAAGAAGTGATCTACTCCCAAAATACAACAGGAACTTAATCACTAAGAATCTAATATGTGCAGAGCACTTTTCATATAGTAAGTATAAGGCAATATAGAGCTTAAGGGCTAAGGTTACATTTTACTTTCTAAACATCTATAATTGATAATTTAAGGTAAGGTTGTTTGTTTTTTTCAGTTCTAAAAAAAAAGAAAACCTAGGACCAGCAGATGGAGGAATGGCTATGTCACTGGATTCCCATGTAGTTGTCTACAATTCGGGTCCCAGATCTGGCAGCTTAAAAAAAATTCATGGCAGGCTTGTATGCGAGTGTGCCCAAAATCCATGGAGGAGAAGGGATTGCAGAGTGACTATCACTGCCCCCCACCCCGGGAGTGGGGTGAATTTCTCTCTTTACGTCTCTCTGGCGAACGCACATACCTTATAGCAAAAATTTCTCTTAAAATTTTTTTAAAATTTTTGGATAATTCTGAATATATTTTGAAGAACTCTAGTATTTTTGCCCATATTATGACTATTTTAAAAACAATTAATTCAGAATATCTGTTAATAAAGTCTTGTTACTTCATATTCATATTCCTACAGGTAAGAAGAGCTAACTAGGCTCATCCATAATCAGCTGACTAACATGACAGTCTCAAACAAATTGGTGACCTGGAATTAAATGCTTTTTGCAGAATGAGGGTTAAAGAGAAGAAAGGGGTGGGAAGGGATAATGGGTAGCAGATGGGGAGGTTTATAAAAAGGAAAATCCAGGATGTTTTCTAAATTAGAATATGCCTGAAATGCTAGAATACATTAAAAATTATTTTTAAATAAACTGTCACCTGGCTCATCTCTACACATACATTACTGTGCCAGATTAATACACATCATGTCTTAATTTAGGGCCTTACCTTCAGAGTGTGTGTCAAGAATATCTAACCTTCATACCAAAGGTCTATCTTAGCCTGAAGTCATTAGTATTAGTAACAACTCAGAACACGAAGAGAGTAGAAAAGGTACATAGAAATAAATTAATTAACCTACCTCAGAGGTGCAAAATCTAGATCACTTTGGTGAAATAAGGAATCAGGCCCAAACTCCTGGTCTTGAGTCATACATGTCAGCAAAGGCAAATCAGGAGAAGCAAAGCTATCTTGTATAACTGTAAAGTTTCAAATATAAAAATACTGAATAATGCCTAAAATCGATTGTCTAGCTTACTCACATAATACCTTAAAGCACCTAGATATGCTATCATCTGGAAGTTTCTACAAGCATTAGACTAATAATATGTAACAACTGCAGTTACCACTTATTGAGGCCTGACAAAGTCCAGACACTTAATATATACTATATCACTTAATATTCATGATAACCAGGACCAGCAGATGGCATAATGGTTATGTCATTGGACTCCCACGTAGTCGATTGTTGTTCCAGTCATGGACTCCGTGGCTACAAACTCACTCTGTGTACCCCATTTCTACCACTACAACACTGGAATAAACAATGAATCACACAGCTCTTCCATAAGAATTCAATACAGGGAACCAGCAGTTAGCGTAATGGCTATGTCGCTGGACTCCCACGTAGTCGACCACGGTTCACGTCCTAGACCCGGTGGCTTAAAACTCACGCCGGGCGCGTGTGCGTGCGTGTCCAAGATCCCGAGAGGAGAATGGAGGAGAAGGGATTGCGGCGTGACCGTCCCCCCTGGGGGGTGATTTCTCGCTTTCTGTCTCTCTGTCTCTTTCTGTCTGTCTGGCGAGCGCACGCGCCCTATAGCAAAAATCTCTCAAAAAAAAAAAAAAAAAAAAATCCAATACAGCCACTGATCCGACAGGAGGCGCTGCCCAGAAGGCAAATATAAGCTATAGGGAGTGGCTCCAAAACTGATTTGACAGGAGGTGCGACCCAGGTGATAATGCTAGAGATTAGGAGGCTACTGCTAACACAGATAAAGCCTCATTTGCTCATCCCATCCACCACACTCTGCACCAGCAGACAGACACCAGTCCAGCCCCCAGAGGCCCCCAGGCACTTCTCTGCAGTCTGAGGGTTGGGAACCTCTGCTTACAGGACAGTTATTACTATACATATATTATAAATGTAGAAACATAACTACATAACTTAAGAAGCATTAATTTGTCTACATTCAAGTAGCTTAAGAGCCAGAATGAGGCAAATGCTCTTAACTACTGGGCTGTTAGAAAAGTCATGACGTGTTTTGCTATGCAAAAATGCATCATTAGTTTTCTAACAAGCCAACATTATGAGTGTTCCTTTCTATATTAAGTAATTTAAAACTATACCATATATCAAAGTATAGTCCAGAATCCTAAGATATACTTTGCCAAGAGTCAAAATTATCTTCAAAATACTACTTGAGATATGATTTGTTTTATTCATTCTCATTCTCACAGAGGGTATACTGGCATTTTCCAGAACTACATGATGTATGACATATCATCAGATTGAATACTGAAGCAGATATGAGTCTGGCTGCTCTACATTAAGTCAGACAATAACAGTTTTTTGGATTTTTCCCCCTTAATGAAAACAAGCCCAGGGACCAGCAGTTAGCTTAATGGCTATGTCGCTGGACTCCCACGCAGTCAGTCGACTGCAGTTCGCGTCCCGGACCCAGTGGCTTAAAACTCACGCCAGGCGCGTGTGGGTTCGTGCCCAAGATCCCAAGAGAAGAATGGAGGAGAGGGGATTGTGGCGTGACCATCCCCCCTGGAGGTGATTTCTCGCTTTCTGTCTCTATGTCTCTCCCTGTCTGTCCGGCTAGCGCACGCGCCCTGTAGCGAAAACCTCTCCAAAAAAAAAAAAAAAAAAACTGCCGCCAGGCATGGGTGCAAGGGGTCCCCAAG